AGAAAATGTACGTTGAAGCAGCCACGTGTCAGAAGAGAAACCTCGACTCCAACTTATCGATTACTCGGAGTCGCCTTTCGCGGTGGCAGCGGCGTGCCATTGGCCCCTTAAAGGTTCCTGAAAAGCGAAGAAAAGCTCCCGGGCGTCGGGCCAATGGCCGTGGCGCGCGCGCACCCCCTTTGCTCTCTCGTCGCCTTTTTCCTGTGGATTTTTCCCCGCTGTCGCGTCTCTAAGAAAGCTGCCAGCAGCGAATCGCGGACGCGCAAAATCCATCGCAACCCCCGTCATTGGCGGAGTTGCAGCATCTTGACGCCGCCCATCGAGGAACCCTGTACCCGGGAAAACAGAGCTCGCGTTCGTTCCCTCTCTCTTCCCAGATTTTCCCGCCTCTCTCGAACGCACCTCTCGTTCTCGTTTTCTCATTCTCGTCCTCTCCTTCTATCTATCTGCCGTCGCGACGCCTCCACCACCCCGTTTTCTTCTCCTTCTTCGTCCTCGCATCCTCGTTCGGCTCCACCTAGGATGGCTCTCTTCTTATCTCGCTCCTACCTCGGCTTCCCTTCTCCGACGACGACGTCGTCGTTACCACCATGCTGCGTGCTCTCGCTTCTAGCTCTCTTTCTCTACTTTCACCCTGCCCTCCCTGCTCTTTTGTTTCCCCGGCTGGCTTCCTTCCTCTTCTTCGGTGTCGGTTTCGTCGGAGCCGCCGGTGCACCCCGAACACCTCCGGACATACCATCCGAGATGATCTCTCTTCCTCTCCCTCTCCCTTGCGCCTTCGTCTTGCCACTTGCTACCCTGTGTTACAGCGACCTGGAAGAAACCCCGCATCCGAGGTGAGGCTGCGAAGCCGTGGAAGCAGAAGAGGAAGGGAGGGCTTCAGCGGCGCTTCCTCAGATATTAGATTTTACAAGGAGCGTGCTGGGATTTTAGACGGGTCACGGGGTGGGTGGACGACGGCGGAGATGGAGGAACGCTGAGCTGCTGGTTCCGCGCTTCTCCCTACGTCGGGGGTGGGATAAATATTAATTACGTTTCTAAGGACTGCCTGCGGCTATATGTGTACTACTGGTTATACTTCCTCGCGCTATAACCTGGACCTTATATCTCCGAGAATTTGCGGACGCGTCTTTGCGAGAGACTTGCTTTCTTATTGATCGTCGGTACGGCTGTCCCTACTGTCTGTTTCTACTTCTCGGATCTGTGAATTCTTCAACGAAATTGTAGACACGAGTTCTTCTGAGCGGAACCTTTATTTTTAGTCCGGACATATCTTTTTCTCATCCATCAAGAAAAAAAAAGTATCTTTATTTTATATCGATATCAATAAAAAAATTACGGTTTTCGCTATTCATTATTAAATAGGATGAGCATTTAAATCATGTACACTTTATGTCAGTTTAGTTGTAATTTTTTTCCACTCTTCTTCGTCTGCGCTTAATAAGCACGCTATTTGCTGGTCATACTATTGTACGCTGTTGAATCAGGCGCGGCAAAGTTTTATTAAATACCATAGACGCGCAGAGTCGACATGGAAAAAACACTTTGCCGATGCGCATTCGCGGCGTTACTCCATCTCCCTGCGTTAAATTGATTCGCATTATTAAAAGCAGCCGTGAATTGGCCGTGAAAGTTTTTCAATTTCCCTGGCACTGTCTCCGCCAGTAAATTGCACTGATAAATTGCACAATACGACGCGGTTCGGAGAAAATCGCATTCAAAACTACGCGTGTCCCGGCGTCTAGACGGGATTAGTTGTATATTTCATTTAGAAACAATAAATAGCTTCTAGACGATGAAGTACGATATAACAACGCTTTCTTACCTTTGTTATGACATGTATTTGAATAAAGGATATAAAATGAATCAGAAATAATTATCGAACAATTACTTTTTATGTTGATTATTACAATTTTTAAAAGTAGTTTTGTAAATATATCATGTTATTTTTAATTTATTTGTTTTCTATATCATTAGAATAATTATGCGAATTAAATTGTTGACAAATAATTTTTCAATCAATTTATAACAAACTTAGAAATATATATATAATCATTTTTGAATTTGAATATATATCTTTTTTAAAGAGTTTTAAAAAGAAAATTATTTGCTGTTTTACTTGAATCTTATACTTTATCAGTAGCATAACATTCCATGTTTTTTTTTACATCAGGTGTTGAATAATGTCTGCCTAAGTTATTAGACTGACCGCATCTAGCCGGCGGCATTCGAAGAAGGGTCAATTTATCAAATTTGCGAGATAATTATGTGGGGTTGCAAACGCCGATCGCATAATCTCATACGCGTAGCTGATGATCATGGTCGATTATCCACGGAGTCGTTCGCCGCTCTTCGGGTAACGAGGCAGATCACCCTGACTCGCTGGAAACAGCCTTCGGGGGAGAAAGATCAAGGGTGGCTGGTTCGAAACCTGGCTGAAATAGGTGGTGCTGCCGCGCGGTGGCAGTATCGATAACTGAACTGTTTAAACAACCCCCTCGCAATTTAGCCCTTTATTCATCTAAATCTTCTTACCACGTTTCAATCAGTAGCAATTCCATAAAAATATTTCAGCATTTTTAGGAATATGAGAAAAAAATTGTAAAAAAATGTATTATGAAATTTTTTAATTCAAAAAACGTATACACCTTTGCAAGTCGTAATTAACTGTCTTGTATTTGTAATTTAGATCTTTTAAAATAATCCATTGTCAATAAAATTATCAAAATCTAAAAAGTAATTCAACATATGAAGATCGGAGAAAGAAACGGGATTTAAATGTCGATTTAAAACTCTCGTATGTAACTCTCTTTACGATAACTTTTTTCACGACTTATTTATAAAGGATGCACCTAATTATCAAAATCATAATTCTAGTCTATTTGAACAAAGATAAAATTTCGCTTGCCATAACAACTGTACCATTCTAGTACCCTCTTGCGGCGACGTCGGATCGGGCGCTTGTCACCCCGTGGGACAAGATCGATCGACTTGTCGGTTGATCGCGGCATCGATGCATCCTGTGATAGGACGTTAGATCGCTGACCGAGGTCGGCCATTAGCCGCAAATGACGTACTTAGGTGGCCGGCGATCTCTCCCACTGAGAGATTTGATCGGATGCGGGATTCCTTTGGACAATGATTCCGGCTCCGCGAGAGATCCGCGAAGCCACGCAAGAGCGAGCGAGCGAACGGCAAGGGGATTCACGGCCCCTTCTTCGTTCATCCTATTGATTTTCCATTCGGAACAGCTTCGACACTCTCGAGGCGCCAAACGTCGGCACGAGCTGCCCGACCGATTGACCGACATTCGATTGCCAATCGACGCGCAATCCGGTCGATCCGCCGGTGACAATGATTGAGACACCTGTGACTCGTTTGCAAGCGAATTTGATCGATCCGCTGCAAAGTCGCTACTATTCCCAATTACGCGTGTTTATTATTGAATTTATTATTGAATTGACTACTTTAAAAATAATAATATAGTATTATATGTTTTAGAAATTGGAGAGATACAAAATTAATACAACATATTATCATGTACTATTATACTATTTATATATGTAAAATACAATGAATCAATATACTGTTCGTAATATATTTAAATTACAATTAAATATCGTCTTGTCAGAAAATGACGTTTCTATTCTAGAAATGGCGAAGTTTTTTATATCAATTTTTAAACCCATAAAATATGTTTTTTAATTGATCAATTAATTGGAAATATGCACGTTTTCCTCTCTCTGTTTTCCTTTTATATATATATACTTTACATTATTTTTACGGGATAAATATAAAAATTTCCGAATTCTTCATTCTTAATATCTTTTCTAAGATATGAGACTCTTTTATGCTCTTTAAAAAAATCGTATATTAAAACACGTACCGATATTATGATTAACGGTGTAATCCATGATCGAGATAGTTCGCGTTGAATTCCGACGGTAATTAGCCGTACTGTTTGATTTGGACGACGCGGTGGAAGAGGCTCGTGCGGCTCTGATTGGATGAAGCCGCCGTAGGTTCGTCTTCACTTTCCAAAAGGAAAGAACAGCCCGGGGCCTCTGGCTCCAGGAAATGACGAGAAGACGAGATGAGACAAGACGGGACCCGCGAGTTAGGAACGACGAAGTCGTTGAGTTCGGATGAGATGGGACGGGACGAGGTAGAAGAGACGACGAGATGAGATGAGAAACAGCAATGTCGCAATGAGATATTGCCAGTATGCGAAGGTGCACAAAGCTACCTTAGGATCTGTTTCCGTGCCTTGTAATAACACTGTGCATAAGTTATGACTGACTACTCATGGTTTGATATAATTAGCTTAAAAAAATTTTTTTTTCATTATTACTGTGAAAAAGATAAAAATTATGACATAAAAACATAATATTTTTGTCTCTAAATTTTGCAGAAAATAATTTTTAATTCAACTCTCTTAACACTTTCTTTATGTTAAATCGAAATTATTTATTTATACATTGAATATGCGATTTTAAATAATGGATCAAGATAAATTTTTGCAATTGTAGAGGAAAATAGGATGTTGAGGTTTATTTTTTTATGAAATAAATTTTGATTCCAGCTCTCTCTTTTGTGTGACTCTTTATTCTATAAATAAATAACATTTTTTTTTAGTTCACATATGATAAATACATATATATATATATATATATATATATGTGTGTGTGTGTGTGTGTGTGTGTGTGTGTGTGTGTGTGTGTGTGTGTGTGTGTGTGTGTGTGTGTGTGTGTGTGTGTGATTTACAAATATATTTTTTCGTTCAATGCGCATTAATATCAATTTTAATATATTATTTTTTATCGCTATATTTTTTAAAATATTTCTAAATCTCTAATAGGAGGAGCTGCTTAACATCTTTGTGATTATTACGTTATCGGTTATTATCAGTACAAAGTGTTCATACATCGTATAGTTTTTAATCCCTTGATATATCTGCATGCCCTGGGCGGATTTTCCGCGGGATATGAAGATAGGGAAGAGGGTGGAAAAGCAAAAGGAAAGGAAGGTGCCCACGGTGCTCGGGGGGGTGACACGGGGTGCAAGATGTAAGACGAAGGAGGCGTGGCCTCGGCATTGATCCAGAACCCCCACTCTTGTGCTTAAAAGTACGGCTCTGGCTGCTCCGCTCTGTGCTCACCCCCGTCGACCTGTAAGAAACCGGCAAGAAATGAATATTCATGAGCCATCAGCTTCACTGCGTCTATCTTCTTGATTCGGTCACCGGCGTCAATGAAAAAAATACTTCGTCATTAATATGTATGTAAATTAAAATGCTATTAAATATTATTAATTTTATATTAAATAAAAAAATTATTGAGAGAAATTTTATTTCATAATTCTATATTATTATACAAATTTTTCGTTAACAAAAATACATAGAATTTTGTTTGTAGAATTTAACATTTAAGTATTAACAAATTGAAACAAATTTAATAAAAAATTTAAAAAAATACTTTTGTTAAATAAATAAATAAATAAATCTTTTTAAGAAACGCTTTTTATCTAAAATAAATAATGATTAAATTCATTATGATTGCAAATTTTCAATATTATTATAACTTTCTGGAAAATTCACTTCACTGATGAAATAAATGTTTGCTTTGAATTAATAATTTTAATCGTTGCAAGAAATCTAAAATCGCCAAGTGAATCTTCTAAATGCCCTCACTGCGCGCTTGAATTAATTGTGGTAATTCTATTTCTATTTACTGTCGCAGGATATTGCTTTATCTAATTGCTAGCGATACGCAAGTAAGGGGAAAGTGCCGGTAGTCGTAACGGTAGATTGATCGTCGATCTCGACGTTAGTAGAATATACCACATGTAAGATACTAAGATTCGTTTTATAATATAAATTATTTAAATTATAAATTTCTTTCTTTGTTTCGTCAGACATCAGATGACACATTAGAAATACGTTTACTAAACAATGCAAATTATTTTCTAATAATAAATCCTTTTTATCTTTTAAATTTTATTTTTATCCTTTTTATTTAATCAAAAAATACTATTATATGATATATACAAGAAAAATGTAGCAAATGCGAAGATATTGTGTTGAAACGCTTGCAATGTATAAGTCGCACAAGTACTTGCATAGGAACAATAGGACGGGATCATTGTATGAATATTTCACTGCACCTCTCTGGTCAGTGACTCGATATAAATAATTCGAAAGTTATGGAGCTCGATTTAAAATTTTCACGTAATGTTCTCTCCGCTCTATTTAAATCAATTATGCAAAGTTGGCGGGAGAAGCGCGAAAACATCTCGTGAAAAAATATTCGCGCGATTCACTCATATTACAAACTCATATTATTTTATACAATTTCATCATGTCCAAAGATAGATTTCTGAGAAAGGGATGTAAAAGAGAGTTGGGCGCGATGTTAGCAAATTGGTTACCGGCTACGACGTTTCCAGAGTATACCGGGAGTTTGTTCTAACTTGCAGTCGCTGGCAGTTCTCCTCAAACAGGCTAGATTATGCTTCACATCTCTCCGTTTTCTCTTCTCCCAACTGGCTCGCGCGAATCGCGATTCATGCCACGCGACTGTGCATCTACGTTTGTTTGATCTAACTTTGTCTACCTCAATCTTGCTGATTGTGAAAGAAGCAGTCGGAGAGAGCTCGCCGAGGCGAGACGATTCTAAAGTTTCTAGTCTTACACTTTCGAGAAACAGAGTGATCTTTATCAACGATGAAAGATTTCACGTTATATAGATAGAAATGGATGATCAAAATGGATCGATTGACTATGCTCAAATTGTTAATACTTCTATGAATTTATAATTTCTTACTTTGCATAACTGTATTACATCATTATGAAAGAAAAAGTTATACATATTATATCTTATATATATAATATAAAATGCATATTCAGCAGACAAGATATAAAAAGAAAAAACTATGATTACAGTTGTTAATAATTTATTTAGAAATATAACATTATAAATTGATAGTGTTATTTGATAATGCGAGATTATATAATAAAAATTTGTATGTGTGTTTTTTACACATATTAATTTTTGTTGCCAGAACATCATTATATGAAATGTCTTCGTCTTAAATTGTCGGACAATACACATCACATTAAACCCGAAATAGTCCAAGCTCTGATTTACGAAGCTGTTAACGTATCCGATAAAATACAACCTTCGGTTTTATTGCGCCCATTTGACGCCATTTTGGAAGCGAGGATTTCTCTCCTCGAAACATTTCTGCCCGTTACTCTTACTTACCTAACCACTATGTCTTCCCACATCTCCCAGCGCAGTAATTTCAATTGGTTCGCAATGCGTTCCGCACGATTTACTTATTTAAGTCAAATTTTTCCACCGACAGCGATTTTAAACACGAGATAAGTCTCACCCTTCGCAATTTAATCTACTTTGATCGTACTGAAGATTGCTTGGATCAAAGAGATGAGATTAACCACGTTTCGTAATGCATAATATATCAGAGTAGAAATAGAGATCATTTTCAATTTATTGCACACAGATAATGAGAAAAATATTATATTTTTTAAACGCGTAATATACTATTATTTATTAAATAATATACTATTACTTTCCTGACAAACTCGTTTATCTCGTTGTTCCGTTTTTACAATATATTTATGCGCGATTTAACAAAGGATTCAGAGAAAACTATACTTTCTAAATATCCACGATTCGTGATTTTTGTCCTCCACATCGACGACTTTTTCAGTTTTACTTGAGTTGTCCCTCCCCAAGGACAGCAACTCATAGACCAGAGTGTCACGAGCCTTTAAAATATTTAGAGAAGGTAGTCCGGGGAAGGAGAGAGAGAGAGAGAGAGAGAGAGAGAGAGAGAAAGAGACAGAGGGTAGAGGGAGTCGGAGGAGAGACTCATCCAAGTTGGCAACTTTCGGTCGTATTAGCTTTTGTATATATATTACCTCATTTGCGAGAGGAAAGCTTATACTTCTACCCCCTGTAGACACTGTATAGATATACTATGCACTTGCCTACCTCCACCCTCTCCCTCTACAATATACTTGTACACGTGCTTCGGCTATATTCCTTACCGTCAGTGCGATACATCAGTTGTCGCGCGAAATACGACAAATTGTCTATCCGAAAAGTTTCCGCAATCATGAGAGCCTACACATTACTGTGATACTCGAAAAATGCAAAAAAATGAGAGCTTATGATTGTTTGAATCAATTTCCGGAATATATTTGAATCGATAGTGCCAAGAGAAGCAAAAAAATGTGAAAAATCGAATCATTTTACACTTTTTCTATGAATTTGTGATTGACCTATTTTTTGAAAAAGCGATTATAATATAACGGCTACCAAAGCAAATAAGAGCAAAAGTAAACTTTTTTTCTCAAAAAAGAAAGTTAATCAAATAATATTGTTTCACAATATGTGTGGTAAAGCCGTTGGAGGTGTGAAACATCTCTTAATTATGTAATTTCGATCTAAATTTCTATTTATTTATAGACCTTTTTGTCAGAGCTTGTTTTCTACTAAATATTTTTTAAAAATAAGAGAGAATGAACACTTTATACAAATTTATTTTTTTCTATTTATTAATATATATATATATATATTTCAAATTATTATATTTTTTATTTTATTATATATACTAATTTAAAACAATATTAATTATTCATTTATCCATTAGCAATGTAATAAAATTTATTATTTCATTGTTATAGTTAATGAAACAATTATCTCAACAAATAATGTAATAGACACAATTTTTGTTACTTTAGTAAAAGAATTAAAATATGCTTTATTAAATTAAATTGAAATAATATAACAAACAGAAATAATATAATTAATATTTTCTGCATATTTCCTTATCCAATGCGAAAAGAGAAATAAGATAAGATCATCTATATTACCGAAAAGTGACAAAAATTGAGAATTTATCACATTGCAAAATTCATATAAAGTAAAGTAAATTTATGCACATATGTCGGAAAAAAAATTAATCAGTATAATTTTAGAATTCATTTATGAAAAAATAATTTTACTTTTGAGAATATATATATAAACTAAACATTGTACTATTACTTTCTTAAAAATAAAATTTTTTTCATGTGTTGCTCTGATGTATTTATATATTAAATTTGCAAAAGATTAATACTAAATTCAAGAAAGATAGACATATTTTACTTACATTTTGCTTTGTAAATAAATATATAACAAGAAAATTTTAATTATATTGTTTTTAATATTATTATTCAATGTATACAAATATATTAGAGACAATATTCTTTAATTTCTAATCGTAACACTTTGAAAATTTATTCTCTAGTTTCAAATTTTAAGCTTCACGAGTTATTCCGGTTTTCAGCTTAACATAATATCAATTAATTTCTATTCAAAATGCAAACCTACATGTTTGATTATTTTCGTTTTATTTATATAAATTGATATTTCTAACTTTGAAACCTTGAGGCAAGAAAAGTGGCATCGCGTGGAAGAACAAATTCATAAGGGAATATAGCGCGAGGTGACGATGCTGGTACATCCGACGCGGGAAAACAGACATTTAATCTAAAATAACACACGGACAATGAATACAAAATATACGTCAACACGAATCGTAACCTTCCCACTTCCGTAACGTTATTCATCGGTATATCACGCCGGCTGTTCCGATTTCAGCGTGCGTTCGCATAGTGACGTCGGGATGAGCTGGGCGTAAAAATAGAGGATAGGAAAGCGGAAAGCGCGACGGAAAGAGGACGAACGAAGAAGAAGAGGGAGAAGGAAACGGAGGAAAGCGACAAGAGTGCGAGGAGCATCGGCGGCGCATCGCCTTCGAGCAAGTATCGCCCGGCTGTCAGATGGTAGGTAGGGTTGGCGGAGAAGGAAGGTACCTACGCGCGAAGGTTAGGTCGGAATATAGTTTAAGCTAGACGAATGGGTTGGTGGGTGGTTCTGGAGGCAGAAGAGTGAGCCGAGGCGGGTAGTTTTGCCTGGGTACTGCCGCACCACCGTCACCCCTTCGCCTATCCGCCGGTCTTCCGCCGTCCCCCGACCCCCGCCAGCCCTCTGGAGGCACCCCCGGTTACCACTCCACCACCTTCTCCACCTCCTCGACGACGCCATACCCTCGTTCATAATATCCTGCACGTCAGACTTTGAAAACTCCAACAATTTCC